AGAATTAACTTCAACTCGCTATCCAGGAGGTCCGTTCGGGAAAACTGAATCTGGATCGTGTGGCACTGCGTCAACGTGTCCAGGAAACTGTCTTTCCCTCGGTTGGGGTGAGCAGCCCACATTTGTTGGCATCTCCGAATGTACTCGGCACCAAACCTTGTTTTCCCGATGCCAAACACAGTGTCCACCAAGGGGACCACCCAATTTTCACCACCAAGTCCGATATTTGCGCGATTATAGTTGTTTGCGTGGAACTCTTGAAGTTGTAGCGCCGCGTGCTCACGGTTCACGAAAGCCATGATGCCATCTTGCACAGAATAGACAGGTTCCTCTTTTCGCCACACCCACTCCGTAACGCCAGCGGTTCTGTGTCGCTTCGCTGGACTCTCATCAGCTTCATCCTTCGTTTCCTCCCGCCCTCTTGTCCGTAGCACGGTCACGACGAGCGCCTCCTCCATCGTTTGACCAAGCGAATCAATGAGTGACTTGGCCTTCAAAGGCCCATCACTACCGTTGAACACCTGCACGTCGTTTATAGCGACGCCGGCGAGATAGGTAGTGCTGTATTTCACCTGAAATCCTACTTACTACCCGCTACATCTTCTTCTCCCTCTCCTACTTCTCCTATGAAAAACCAATGTCGTGATAGTACTGGTACTATCAAACATGGCTTGAGCTGCATCACCAAATTGCCGACGAGGTATCCGTACGCTGTGCTAAAAAGTAAGTTTGCTAATAAGATCTAGCAAGACCTACACGCCAGACGCTTGCAAGATCAAGCCTTAAACGACAAAACAATGTGTGATTAGGCTCCGACAACACAAGCCGACCGGGTGGTTATAGTAACTACATGTAGTCGGTTTGATGTAACTCGAAGAGTTTCCTTACTCCAACAACTTGCCAAAGCCCACGCAATGGCAAATTGCTAACATAGGCTGGTGCCAATGGCAACATCATTATGGAGTAGATGGAGATAACGGAAAGATGAAAAACAAATACTGGCGAAGACGACGAATGCGGGGGCGAAGGATATCGGACATTTTGTCCCTGGTGAACGTTTGAAAAATATAAGTGATATTATCACTGCTAGCCGCGATTTTCGCAAATATTTATTCTATCACTGATATTGGCTCGTCGCAGGTGATAGACCTATAGCAGTATTAGTATCAGTGATATTCTGGTAGCCCGCCCTGGTCACAAGGCATCGGTCGTGGGGACATTTGCTGTTAACTCAGTAAGTAGCTGGGGGGGGGCTGTCGCTCGATACATTACCAAGGATGACAAGCTGCAATCGAATAGTGTAAGTTTGTTCGTGAGTTCAAAGGAAATACGCACATTAGCCCCGGAAGATGGTGGAAAGCATTATTAACATTATCTTCTGACGAGCACTCGACTTATTCCTATAATGGAGCTTTCTTAGCGCAGTTGTGTCCCCATAGCAAACCACTCTGTGATGTACGACTCTAAATTACACAGCTTTTCAATGGATCAAAAGGTACTTTATGGTCAAGATCTGATTGTTCAGCTACTCTTCAACTCTTCCACAGCGCCAAAGCGCGCCTTGGACGCGAACTCCGCTTCCTTCTGCACCAACTCCTTCAACCGGTGATCGGCGGCAGCTTGCGCCCTCGAAAACTTACCGTAGCGCTGCTCTTCGTAGAGCAAAAAGCACTCCGCGAGCCGAATCTTGGACGGCACGTCGACGGGGTGCGAACGACGCCGAGTCCAGTAGCACGGACAAGTCCTCTTCTTGGGGCATTTCGATGGCCCAGAAGACGCGCATGCTGTTGTCCAGGCCCCCGATCGTCGAGAACGGGTTTCGACGAGGCAAGCGCACTCCGTCCATCGCAGCGGTGGCGAGCTGGCTCTTGCTCACGAAGTCGAGGTCGCAGGTCATCTTGAGCACGTAGTTGACGTCTCGCCACAGGAACGGGCGGATCTGGATCATGCGTCGTCGCCACCCTGCCACCGCATCCACAGTCGCTAGCGAGAGCTCTCGAACGCGTATGAGGGCCTCAAGCAGCTCAACACTCTGGTCGTCCTCAAACGCGCAGCAGCAGCGCAACAACTCGACCAGCCCCGCTTCTCGAGCCACGATGGCTCTCAACACGGCCAGCTCCTCTTCCGACAGCAGCCCTTCGTACGACAACGCCTTCGTACTAGAGAACCTCGCGACCGAGCTGGAAACCTGCAGTCCACCCTCCTTCGGCTTCTTCATCCCAGTCATGTACGGCCTCAGATGATCATCGCTCTTGGGCTTCTCGTTGCCGGTGCTCATCGACTGCATCCTGCTCGACCTAGGCACACACTAACAAAATAACAAGGTTGCTGCGCTTTGGCTGGGAGACCGCTTTTCTACTTTACCCGCATTTACTCCCTGCAGCGGTGCTGAGACAGCGAGTTAAAATGGCACTTTGACTGTCGTACGTGATGGCGGGCACCAAGTGAAGTAACTACAGTATATGCATCCGCAAATGGTGCAAAAAATGCAACTCGCAAACAGGGCAATTCTGCCCCCCCCCTAATAGGAACACGCGCCTGTTCGCAACCACTCAGCACTAATCACCTTAAAACATCGCAGCATTGGTGAAGCAAATTCATGGCCGGCGGAGGAGAGAGCCTTGGATCTGAACTGAAACACCTGAGCTGAACCAACTGCCTTGGTGTTAAATTGACAACCTGAGAATAGAACGAACGACTACGGAGGGAACTTAAGCGCCTAGGGGATAAACTGAAGGGGTGAAGGAGGGCAGGTTGCCTAGTCCTTCCGCATGACAACCGCCAGAGAAGAGAGAAGCTTCCCCTGCTTAGTGAGTCGCTGACAGTGACAGAAAACTCGCCTTGCACAAATGAGCACCACGGGTGTGTGAACCGTCTTGGCCATCCTTTAGAGCGTCCTCAACTCGACGTCAACACGCCGGAGGTTCTGTCTATTATTTATTAGATCGAACGGGGTGCCTAGTTTTATTAATGGACTCTAGCTGCTAGATTTACTCCGAGCTCGACGGCGTTTTGCACTGCTTTTCTTGGTCGAGTGGATAGCACTATCGCCAGCTTCGACTTCCTCGCTACCATCTCCCGGCGTGTTGGCAGACACATGCAAGATGGCGTCCTCCACTTCGAGCTACCCTAACGCTGAAAACTGTTGCATTTTACCTGGATGCTTGTCCCGCGTCAAGTAGATTTCAGAGAAGCTTTAGACTTCGAGATCTGCTGCAATTGCGCCAAGCGTTTGCCTCGCACTCGCGACACTTGTCCATCATGTCGTACACATCATCCTCCGATGACAACAAGGCATCAGTTGTTACAGCTTCGATCGCTGTAGCCGCCTTTTGAATCGCACCAACAACCGAGCTCCGACTGTCTCCGGGCACCTGCCAACCTACGTCGTTTATTAGGCAGTCCAGGATCATTGAGACCGACCTTAACGTATGCTTGACCACATCCGATGCCTTACATGTTTGGGCGATGCGAAACAGCTCGCTCGTACGCAGTGCAGCGACGTAGCTAGTCTAGCTTCCTTGTACCGATTTAAATTTAAATTTATTGCGGTTTAGTCGGCTAACTACACCCGATACTGCGCGCTGCTGCAGCCTCGCCTACGGATCGCATGAGCTTCCTTGTACCGAGCGATCTTGCTCAGTAGAGCTCTATCTACCGCGGCGATCTGGGTGTGGTCTTTTGGGAAGCAGTAGCTGGATACCAATTGAGGCTACGTCACAGGGACAGTTGCTGGGACCCGGTCCTTCCGCTCATCGTAGATTCCTTTGTGGGACTCGTCCAGAGGAAATGTTGGGTCGTCATGCGCGTTAAAGTATACGCCTCTTTCTTCTGGCGATAAGGCATTCCACCAGCGGCGATAGTACCGACCTGCTTTACTTTAAGTATCTTTTAGCCAATCTGATGCCTTCTGAGGGTCGTTCGTCGCGCTCGCAGCGATTGCCTTCACACTCACCATGGTGCCCTGTGCATTGGCGAAGGCCCAGAATGCAGCATGGGCCCTCATGGCACAGCTAGTACCGACGACACAAAAGATTTATGCCGCGGTTACTAGCAACGGCGCAGGCTAAGCGATCACTATTTTTACGTGAATATGCCGCCACGCTAAAAACGGCCTTCTCAAGCACACCCGCCATATAAGTGCCCCGCGTTTGGCTCGACAGAGCCTTGCACTTGCCTTTAAAATGTATGGCGGCCGAAAGTCGGGTGATTGCTCGATTTCTACGGTGTGCGCAAACCAGCAACGCGGACGTGTTGCACCCGGCATGACAAGCTACGGATGACCAAGACAAGCGCGTGGGTGTATGTGCTGTCGTCTACGAGCAAGGATTGACTCCGTTGGCTGCAGTTCTCGTGGTTACGCCAATGACGCGGCGAGGTGAACTATCAACCCCTGCAATTTTTCTGGCCAAGATCGACGAAGTGCTGTACGGAGTTGATGGCATTCAGGCGAAGCCATCGCTGCCGGTTTAATGTGCTAAAAGGGTGCTGTGGGACGAAGGATCGCAATTGCTGGTCAAGGATGGCTCCCTGTAAATGCCACCGGCTTTAGATGAGCTGTTGGTGATGGCGGGGAAGGGACTGCCCAGGCTCGACGATGGCTTCAGCGGATCAGGGAGCGCCTCATGCGACTGAGAACGCCGGTGAAATGCGCAAGATCGAGGCAGGAAGGCGTGATTGTGGCGCTGCCGGCAGAACTCGACAGTTTGACCAGCAAGTGCGTGGCCGTGATCGTGTCCCGTGCAGTTGGCGCAGCTGCCGAGAAGCTCCGTGTCGTCAGGACGGCGAGCCAAGTTGGATCTGGCAAAGCACTGTGCTGATGGACGTGCTGTCGCAGCACAGCGCGGTGCTGCTGTGCTTGTTGCTCCGTACCTTGGTCGCAGACTCCTGCTTCAAGACAAGACAAGACAAGAGGGCATCGACGTCGCGAGGAAGGGCGCCGCTGGCTGTCCTTGCCTGCTCTTGTGTCGTGAGCACAGCACGCCAGCTACAAACCCATTGCGGGCAGAATCAGTGTGGCTTTGCGCTCGTCTCTGCGATCCGAGGCTGGCTGGATCCGCGGGAGGGTTCGTCTGCGACTCGAGCGTCGCTGTTGATGCTGAGGCAGACAAGCTGAGTGCGCTCCGACGCTCTGACGTCACGAGCAGGAGATGGATGGGCTGTCGTCTCTACAAGAACACGCCGTCGTGCTGGGTGGCTGCTCCAGGTGACGTGGGCATGTAAGCTTTCAGCATTTCGTCAAGGTCTTCGTCGTCGCCGTCGTAGAGGTGCAAGTCAATCGGCTACAGCGTTCCAGAGCGGAGATGGCGACAGCGTTCAAGTGTGGCTCAAGATTGCGCGGTCGACCGGTCTCGTCGGTGACTGCCACCACCTTCTGCGTGTCGTCCATAGCGACTGTCGAAGGTGGATGCACTGGCTGTGGAAACGAGTGCTGCAAGAGAAGCTCCGGTTGGGCTCAAGCTGGATGCCGCCTTGGCGGCATCTGCTGCAGACGTACTGATGCTAGAGCCATAATTGTGATGAAGATAGTGATGAGGTATACAGGAATCAACTCAAAGCCAGCATAGTGTGCACTCGAAACAAGACTCAATTCAATACAGGTCACGCTTTGATTCATGCGGCTACTACTGGACGACTACGGCAACATGACGGTACCCAAGCATGACTATGTGAACTGCACTGGATGAACAAGATGTTGGGCTACAGCGGCGAGACATGGCTCGAAGCACAAGCCCTTCGATGATTTGGCGCTGCGCAATTAGGCGGCTAGTTTTGTGAACATCATGAAGGGGAACACCTGCGAGGACCCGGTCTCCCCGACGGGGTCCTCGCAAGTTCATCGTTGTGGCCGCTTGTATGGTTGTTGACTTCAGCCCAGGGTTCGGAAAAAACTAGGGCTTCGCGAAGGCTGGGATAGGTACATGATAATAATGGTTAGAATAATGGAAGTTACTTCATCGGGTGTGCTTACTCGTCGATTGTGCGGTACACGGAGTCCTAATTGAAAAGCAAGCCTGAGGCTCAGGCCCTGAGCACGATTGGACTCGTTACATATTGCATAAGAAGATACAGGTCAAATAATCAAAAGATAGCTCGATAATGTACGGACCAGGGCTTCGCGAAAGCTGGGATAGGTACATGAATACATTGGTTAGAATCATGAAAGCCACTTCATCGTGTGCGCTTACTCGTCAATTGTGCAGCAGATGGTGCAAATAGCATCTACGAAGAACACATCGAGATATTTCCGAACGGGTCTGAAACTCTCAGCGTTTCGCACTGATTGAAAGGGGCTACATTTTCTTTGGCACTACCCTCAGATTTCGTTTCTCGTAGCACGCGCTCGGTTCCTGAGGCAGTCCCCGCCCTCGTGGTCTATATTCGCTGTCTTAGTGCCGGGCGAGTTGCTGCAATGAGCGAAATCTACTATTCATGAAGTATCTATCAACTCATCTAACTACGCACCATTGCAAACGTTCGCGACTATCACCTACGCCTGGTGTGTCAGCGGTTGTCGAGTAAGTTCACTAAATATTCGAGCATGGTTACTCTTTGGATGCATTTACTTTGTTTTGCAAGGAAATACTTTCAGTTCTCGAGCACGAACGCACCAGAACGGTTGTTGTGGAAGCACCGACGCGAAGGAGCAGAGTAGCCGTCGCAAGGCGCATCGCGACCTGCCACTGATTTTAGGCTGACCGTTGCGGAATGTGTTGGCAGCGGGGGGAAACTTCGAGCTGCCGTGTTCGCCCATGCCTCGCAGACGATTTTCCTGTTGCAGAAGTTCTGCCGTGTTGACCACGCTGCTGTCACGGCCCCTGAGCTTGACCCCTGTGCGACTCCTGTGGGAAATAACTCCAAAGTTTATCGAGTTTGTCCTGCTCGCCGCTCAGATCGGCGCCTCTATCGACAGGAAGCCTCAAGTGCGCGAGATTCTGGATTTGCTGGAGAAGCGCCTGCTGAAGGTGCCATTTGAAGAGCATGGGCCGATGGGCTATCGAGGCATGGTACGGAAGTACTCAACTGCTCGTGATGGCATAGGCCTCGGCCAAGCATCAAGCCCCGCCAGCTTTCGCGCTTTGGAGTGGTACATTAGCACTCACGTTGATGACCCCAAGGTCGAGGCTGCAGTCAACAGACTCAAGGGGTACCCATTTTACTTGGACCTGGTGACAACGTCAACTCCAGCCTTCGAGAAACT